AGAGAGAGAGAGAGAGAGAGAGAGAGAGAGAGAGAGAGAGAGAGAGAGAGAGAAAGCTGACCTACCCATCACAATGTATAAAATGTTTGATACTGATGAGTCCTTCTTTTGAATTAAGACATCACTTCAGAGAAGGGCGATACACTAAATCCATCTCTTTCTGATTAAACCCTGAGCTGAGAGAAAACACTTGGAAAATAAGATACAAGAAAGTTGAGCTCCTGTATGGAGGTATGTGTTTGGCTTGGGAAATATGAAATCACTGAACAAATTGTTGGGGGTTTACAAGAGTTTGGGGAGGAGCTGCTAAGAGAAGAAATGAGGGCCATCCAGATAGCTCAGTGGATTAAAGTGTCTGCTTAGGCAGACACAAGATCAGGATTCTATTCCCTGTGTGCTGTGCCAGCCCCACCCCCAGGGCATGCTGAGATGGAGATTGAGACTGGGCATGGTGGCACATGCTTATAATCTCAGTGCTTGGGAGGCTGAAAACAAGAGGATCTCTGTGAGTCTGATCTGTGCATTGAAACCCTGTACTAAATACATTAAATAAATAAATAAATAAATAAATGAAGAAATAAGCATGTGTAAGAAGTTGATCTTCTTCCCTTCCCAGTTTTCCTTGGGCTGATCCTAGGGTTTCAATCTTCATAGGATGTGGATTTTTGGGGCTTGCAAAAAAAGGTGGGAACATTTGCCTTTTCCTAGCACAACAGTCTGCTATTAGCGAGCAGGTATAGCTGCCATTCCTGGGCTGAAGTCTGGGGACCTGGGAGTGATCAGTTTACCTTCATATCTCAGGAAAGTGCTGTACAGTCAGTCCTCATATCTGGGAGTATTCCAAGTTCATCCACAGTGATTGCAAATATTTGAAAACAAATTGCCTTAGTACTGAACATGTACAGACAAGTGTTTCAGTTTCCTTTAAATGATGCAATGTTAGAGCAATTCGTAAAGCATCTTCTTTTTGCTAGGCATCATAAGCAGCCTACAATAATTTAAAGTGCAGAGAAAATATGAGACTGGTGCACTGCCTACTGCTCTAAGGAGGCAGGTTAAAGTACACAGAAAGTATGCTTAAAATGCAATAGTGTTTTATAAAAGGGACTCATACCCACAGATTTTGTTGCCCATGGGGGATCTTAGAGCCATTGCCCATGCATACATCAATCTTGATTGATGCCATAGCAGTGGCCTCTGCCAGCAAATGAGCCAAGAAGTCCAGGAACTGAAAATATTAAAGATCTGTCTCAGGAGTTATCAAGGAGACCCCCTAGGAGGAGTGACATTGAAGCTAAGCCTCTAAAAGTGTTGTCAGGCAGTTGTCAGAAAACTATAGCATGAGGATGTGAAATTCAAAAGAGGATGCATTCTGAAGACTCCCTACAGATCCCTGGGCACCCCCCAAACTTGCCCTGTTTATTTTTAAGTATATATCATGTTACCTCCAGGATACATAGAATAGAAGCCCACAAAGGTAGGGGCTGTGTGCTGCACTTCCCTGAGAATGTCTGAGGGCCAGCTGAAGGGTGACCCTCAGAAATGACACCAAGATTTGGGTGCTGAATCAATGCCACATAAAACAAGGTGTCATTCTTCCTGCTTTGTCTACCAGGCTTTGCAGCTGTCGGTGGGTAGGGACCTTCCTTCCTTAGGGCCTGCTCTACTGTTTCAGTAATTGCTCTTATTTGACCTTGATCCTAACTGACCTTAATGATTAGATTCTAATTACCAAGCAATCATTTTGTTTGCCATTATGTTTATGATTCTTTCATTGTAGATTCTATAAAGGACCTTAATGTTTCCAAACTTCCAGAGTATTTATTATTTGTGTAGTACCTTGACTTAAAGATATAGCATTTCTGGCATGGTGGTACATGCCTGTAATCTCAGCACTCAGGGAAGCTGAGGCAGGAGGAATGTTGCAAGTTCAAGACCAGGCTGGTTTTCAAAGTGAGCTCAAGGTCAGTCTGAACTGTATAGTGAGACCCTGCCTCAAAAAGA